AGGCCTGAAATTAAATGGTTGCGTAATGGTCGTGAAATTGAAATTAACGAAGATATTACCATTGAAACTACCGAGACCACCACCACTATTAAAATTATTAATATGAATCGCAAGCGTACCGGTAAATACGAAGTTTGCGCTAAGAATAAGGTAGGTGAGGTCAAGTCCTCTGGCTCTGTTATGGTTACCGATGAACAGCAATACAAGGAAATCAAACCACCACGTTTCATTAAGCCCCTCAAACAACAATATTTCGGTGAAAATGAAGTTGCCATACTAGAGGCTATAGTCGAATCTGAACCTTTATCTTCATTCCAATGGTTTGTGCACAATGAACCCATTAAGAGCTCCACCGAATGTCGCATTGTCACACAGGCTAACAAATCCACTTTGTTAATCGCCAACTTTGAGAAGAAATACACTGGTCCCTATACCTGTCGTGCTGAAAATGTTGGAGGTTCAGTAACCTCCACCGCCACTGTTCACCTATTAGAGGAGGCTCCACAAGAGGAAGCTGAAGTCTTTGAATCTCCTCGCTTCGTCGAAGAACTAATTGAACCCGTAGAAGTTATGGATGGAGAGGCTTTAGAGCTTAACTGTAAGGTGGTGGGTAAGCCCACTCCCAAGGTTGAATGGTATCACAATAATGAAAAGATTATCGAGAACAAAGAAACTCTTATTATACAAGATGCCCAAGGCCAATGTCAACTGAAAATAACCGAAGTTTTCCCCGAAAATGATGGCGAATACAAATGTGTGGCCACCAATAAAGTTGGTGAAACTGTCACAAAGACAACTGTCAATATACAAGGTACTTACATAGACATTACAATGCTCTGGCCGAAGGAAATGTCAAAAAATACTAGAATATTTGCTCTCTTAATGTCTTAAAATAAAAGCACTCCTTTACTATCAAGTAACACACTGCCACTACACTAAAAACACCCACAGAAACTTAACATAATTTATAAAACAAACAAAAAAAACAAAACTACACTGAACAAAATTTACTCTTTATCTAATAATACCCCTAATTTACCCTAAATAACATCAATCTCTTTCACTTACTAACTTTAGGTCGATTGTCTTTCAATTGTTTAGCTTGATATATAAAGCATGATTTTTATATCAACTAAATAATTAATCAGTCTATCTATATGTTTTGTTTTGTCCCAACCAACTATCGTCTCTTGTCTATCTAAAGATGTCTATGTCTTTTAGTCTGGTAGTTTTCCTTTGTAGTAGTAGGTAGTTTTGTAGCATGTTTTAATTTGTTTAACTTTTCTGTTTTAAGTTTTATTTAAATTTTTTTCTAATTTAAATTTTGTTTAATGTAACATTTACAGCATTTGAATATATCCCCGATTCTGAAATCACTGGACTATCAGCATCGGAAGAAGATCTTCTGGATAAGGTAAATATGAAAACTTTACTAAAAAGTTAATTGACAGATTTATCTTGATGCATCATCGAAAGCTCTTGCTAAAACTATACTTAAACTTTTTCTTAAAAGCTTTATTGAAAGGATTATTATACTTATTATAAAAGCTTTTTGTGAGCTTTTTTCCAAAGCTTTATTGAAAGCTTTTTCTAAAAACTTTATTAAAAGCATTTTCTAAAAGCTTTATTAAAAGCTTTTTCTAAAAGCTTTATTAAAAGCTTTTTCTAAAAGCTTTATTAAAATATTTTTCTAAAAGCTTTATTAAAAGCTTTATTAAAAGCTTTTTCTAAAATCTTTATTAAAAGCTTTTTCTAAAAACTTTATAAAAGCTTTTTCTAGCAGCTATTCCTTAATTAAAATATGATTGTAAATTTTTTTGAACATTTCTTCTAAAACATTAATGGAATTCTTTTAAATTCTCTAAAAAGGAAAATGTTTCAAACACCGCATTGAAAGCTTTTCAGCTTTCGCTTTTTCTAAAGTTCATATATATATTTTTTTAAACATGGACAAAGTTTTCCTAAATGCTTCATAAAATCCTTTCTAAAAAGTTCCGTGTAAAAGTTTTATAAAAAGTTCATTCTAAGAGCTTTATATAATGCACTGTCTAAAAACATCATAAAAAGTTCTTAAAAATTTTTCTCCAAAGCTTTATAAAAAATGTTCTCCTTAAATGTTTCATAAAAACGTTCCTCAACAGCTTTTTCTAAAGCTTTAAAAGAGTTTTTCTTTAAAACTTTATACAAAGTTTTTCTTTTAAGCTTTATAAAAAGTACATATGTACAGCTGTGTTCAAAAAAATAGGAGTGAGACTTCAAAATAATTGTGCAGGTTATTTTTAAAAAGAAACATTTACGGAAATCCAATATTTTTTCACGATATTTGTTTGTTAGGTGTTTAAAATAAAAAACAAATGAAATTTTTTATATATCTTCATTAGTTCTTTTGTTATTTACTTTTTTCGGAATCCATATCAGATTACGACTGTTCAAAAAAATAGGAGTACGGTATATTCTCTAACCTAAGTTAGACTAATTTTCATCATTCGTAGTAAATATTAAAAATATAGTATAAAATTCTTGTATTTGAATAAATTTAAGCAATTTTAAACACAGTTCACGATTATTTCATTTAAAATCATGAAAAAAGTGTCAGAATTTACGAAAGGGGAAATCTGTTTAAATATCTTGGAAATTATGAAAATATCGCGAAAAGAAAAATAAAATATCTCAAGCTAATTTCATTAAAAGATTATTTGAATACTTTAAGAAGTAAAATTTTTTAAAATCTCTCATAAAAACTAAACATTTTATGCAAAAATGATAAGCGCTAACGGCAAGGTTTTAAAATTAATCTCATTAGGGCGTCCTAAAATATTGAAATTAAGCCAAATTGTAGTTATAAAACATCGTGATCAATATTCAATTAGTTCAGATAAATTTTCAAACAAAATTTTTTTGAAAACATTTAATTTCAGACCATAAAGCATATAGTCAAATCCATAAAGATTGCCAAGTACCACATTTAGAGGTGGTTTCATACATGGATGAATTTTTAAAGCAAGAATACGACAACAAATTGTGTTTTTAAATCTAAATGAATTCAGAAAATATATTGGAAGTCCATTAATCGAAAAATATTAAGCTATAACCAACTTTCAAAGAAGTAGTATAACAGGAATGATTCAAGACGGGTCTTGACAAAAAGGGTATGACCTAATAAATTGTAGAATGGAATCGTAGACCAAAGGTTGTAGGTAAACATATTACCCCAAGATATGTTCTCATATTCCCAACAAACAAAGTTGATAAAATGGCGATGTAGTCTTATGAAAACATGATTGATTCCAAAATGGTGGAAGCACGTTCCATAGGAAGTAGGCAATGATATGGTTGTCGACTTACTGATTGTAAAACAAATCGTTAAAAAACCTTGCGTATAACGTCTTTCCCAATAAATTACAGCATATTTGTGGATAATCGTCCACGATATGCGTCATCAAGCTCCTCAAAGCCGTTGTCGGAAAGACATTAAGTTCTGGAGACTCAGATACCCAAATTCTAAATAAAAACTTGACAAAAATAGCTGATGTTGTATTGCTACACACTAATTAATAATATTTTAGATGAAAGTCCTTTCTTTTTTGTTTTTATTTTAAAAATATTTTAACTTAAAATGAATACTCCTATTATTTTGAACAACAGATTTTGTATATAAATTTAAAAAATTATATATTTTTTTAAATAAATTTCTTAAATATTTAAAATAATGATTATAAAAATTAGAGAACAAGTTAAATAAATAAATTATAAAAATATTTAATTTAAAATCTAAATCTTTCACAAAAAAATTTATATTTAAATTTTTTGAAATTTTCACTCCTATTATTTTGAACGCAACTGTATATCCTTAAAGCTTTATAAAAAGATTTACTTAAATACTTTATAAAAATCTTAAGAGCTTTATGTAAAGCTTTTCTTAATAGTTTTGTGAAAAGTTTTTCTTAAGAGCTTTATGATAAGCTTTTCTTAAAAGCTTTATGAAAAGATTAATATTATTTAAATATTTTTATAAAGTATTTAAATAATATTAATCTTTTCCTAAAAGCCTTTTTTAAAGCTTTTCTTAAAAGCTTTGTGAAGTGCTTTCCTTAATACCATATAAAAAGCTTTTCTTAAAAGCTTAATGAAAAGCTTTTCTTAAAAGCTTTTATAAAAAGCTTTATAAAAAGCTTTTCTTAAAAACCTTACAAAAAGTTTTTCTTAAATTAAAAACCCTATAAAAAATACTTTAAAAGCTTTATCAAAAAAGCATAATGGATTTTTAGTGAAACATCTAAATTTTAATTCCGTAAAAACTTAAAAAAAAATTAAATCATAATTTCTTCTTCACACCCACCTCATTTCAGACGATCTCGATCGACGAACAACCACCGAAGATAGTTAAAAAACTACCTGAAAAAATCGAACCCAAAGAGGGTGAATTACCGAAACTGGAAGTTAAAGTTATCGGCAAACCGAAACCAAAAGTCAAATGGTTACGCGATGGCGAAGAAATCTTTGCTTCCGAAGAATATCAAATCGAAAATTTCGAAGATGGCACATCCGTGCTGGTCATCAATAACGTTTATCCCGATGATGTGGGTACAATTAGTTTTGAGGCTCACAATCCATTGGGCGTAGCAGTGACAACAGCTCTGTTTTCGGTTGAAGGTATTTATCGTTTAAATGTTTATGTTTTAGATGAATTTTCTCAATTTTTACAGGATCTTAATGGAGTTAATTATAATAATAATAATAAAATAATTTCATTTACAGCTTTTACAGCCAGGAAATTTATTAAAACCTTTTTTATCCCTTATATCCTTGTATATAAATCCCTTAATCCTAAAATATATACACTTTTTATTTACACTGTACACCTATTAAGAAAAACTTGACTATATATTTTTAGTCTAAGAGGAATTATATATATTTTAAAGAAATGTTTTTTTTTTCTTTAAAAAAAGTTATTAATACTTAAACTTTTTTTTATACTTGATAATATTACGCTACTTTAGGCATTGTTGGTACTAAGGATTACCGCAAACCGGAATGGGTGACTCATATGGAAGAAATGCAAAAGGCTCTTAAAGGTATGTATTACTGGTAGCAATTTTCATAAATTAATGACAAATCTAGCAAATCCTTAACCCTTTGTGGTATAAAGAATAAAGGGTTTCGGATTTGTTTAGATTTGTTTTACACTTTCTTAAAACTGATTTATATTACTTAATCAATGTGTATCCCTTTTTTTATATGTGTATATGTGTTTTAATATGTTTTTTTTTTTAATTGTTTATATATTTATTTAAAAGAAATATATAAAACTAAATACTTCACAAAATGACTTTTCTCTCTCTCTTACTCTCTCTCTTTGTCTATATCTCTCTGTGTCTTTTTTTTAATTTACACGTTTTGTGTCCTTTTATTACCGTCTTCGTTTTTTTTCTATTTAAATAAAAAATAATTAAAAATGTACCTTTTTTCCATGTGTACTTTTTTTTAATAATTTGTCCCAGTTTTATTTTTCTGTATAAATTTAAATAAATTATTTTCTTTGTGTAAAAAATATTTGTCAATTACACATGTCTAAATAATTTTATTTTAATAATGTATAGTAACTACAACTCCCTGTATTCCATTTCCAATTGTCCTTTTAATAAAGCTGTAGTTTCCCCCTTTAGTAATTTTGAAAAAAGGTCTAAAGCTCTGTAGCTTTCTTAGAGTAAAATTTTGAAATTTAAAAGTTTTAGCAAAATTCCCTCCCCCTAAGTATACGCCATTTATTACAAATATTATTTTTTTAATAATTTTTTTATTTTTCAGTTTTTTTAGTGATTTTATAAAAATTTTAGTTTGAATTTTAGATTGGTTAAAATTTTTTCAAAATTTTTATTAACTTTTACTAACTTTTTTTTTTTAAATAATTGGTTGAATTTGTTATTCTAAAAATTTACTAACTTTAGAGACCAATTTTGGTAGTTTAGTATTTTAAAAACCCCCGCTTTTTAATAATTTTTTTTTTTCTAAATTGGCCTATTGAAAAAGTAAAGGAGTTTTAGTACCTTCAACCTGACTTCTTTCCTTGTAAATATAATTTTTATGTATGTATATATTTTTTTAAAATTTATTTTTATAATTAAAAAGCTTTTTTTTGTTAAATTATCATTAATACATAACAGACAAACAAATTTCACTTGATCAATAAATTAATATTTATCAAAAACTATTCTTAAGTTCAAAAACATCACTTTAGTTAAACTTCGGAATTAAATCAAAACTTTTAGGAATCTTGCTGAAAATTTCAGTCAAATCGATAGCTAATAATTAAAAAAACTTTATAATTTTCTACACAAAAAATATTATAGTATCTAACAAATTGGGTTATCGTAACTCTAACATAATTTTTCTAGGGTTAAAGTTCAAATTTTGAAGATTATAAAATATTCCTTAAAAAATTAGAAATATTTTAGAGAATTTTGAAAAGATTTTAGAAATTAAATTTCCCTTGTCTTAGTAATAAATTTTAATCTAATTGAATAATTTCATGAAGTTGGGGTCAAAGGTCAAATTTTAAAATATTTGAGATTTTCGAAGGATTGGAATTCTGAAAAGATTTTAAAATAAAATTTCCCTTGTCTTAGTAATAAATTTTAATCAAATTCAATAATTTCATGAAGTTGGGGTCAAAGGTCAAATTTTAAAATATTTGAGGTTTTCGAAGGATTGGAATTCTGAAAAGATTTTAGAAATTATATTTCTCTTGCTAAATTTTTTATAACTAAATTTTAATCAAAATGAATAATTTCATGAACTTGGTCAAATTTTAAAATATTTGAGATTTTCCTTAAAAAACAAAAAATTTTTGAGATTAATAATAAATAAAGATGAAATTTTTATGAAGTAATATACATCTAATTTATAACTTTAAATTGCAATTTTAACCTTTAATAAACTTAAGGTCAAAGGTCAAATTTCTAAATATTTAAAATCGTTCTTAAAAAAGCCACAAAATATTATAAAATTATCAATAAATTTGGTAAAAGTTTAGAAAATTTTAAGTAAAAAATGTTCAACTAAATTTAATATTTTATAAACTGAAAGGTCAAAGGTCAAATTTTGAAATATTAAAAATATTTCTAAAAAAAAGCAACAAATAGTTTTGCTTACAAATAAATTGTGAATAAATTTTTATAAACTAATTTAGATTTGAATTATAAATTTTACTAGCTATTTTACACTTTAATAAACTTAAGGTCAAAGATCAAATTTCTAAATATTTAAAATTGTTCTTAAAAAAGCCACAAAATATTATACAATTATCAATAAGTTTGGTAAAAGTTTAAAAGAAATTTATAGCAGTTTTAAGTAAACAAATTTTCAACAAAATTTAATATTTTATGAACTTAAGGTCAAAGGTCAAATTTTGAAATGTTTGAAAACTTTTCCAAAAAAAAGAGAAAATTGTTCAGTTTTTTGATTAGTTGGAGATAAAACTCAAGAAAATTATATTTACAATTTGTAGGAATAACTTTTCATAGCAATTTAACCTTTAAATAAACTTGGGGTCAAAGGTCATATTTATAAACATTTAAAATTTTTCTTCAAAATCCAACAAAATGTTGAAAATTTAGAATAATATTCTAACCGGTCTTAATTTATATAATTTATAACTTTTAATCCTTTAATATCGAAGGGTTCATAGGTCAAATTTTTAAAATTAAAAAAAAAAAATTTCTTTAAAAAATATTATTCAATAATCAATAAGTTCCACGTAAAGAATTACTTTTAATCAAATTGTAAAAATGTTATGAGATCAAAGGTCAAATTTTTATATATTAGAGATTTTTCTTTAAAAATGTAAAAAAATGTTTTGCAATTATCGAAGAATTGGGATTAAACTTTAGAAAAATATTTTCCCGGGCCTAAGTAATACTTTTTAAAAGTATTTCAACATTTTAATGAACTTGAGGTCAAAGGTTAAATTTCTAAATAGTATACCTACTGATGTCTTTAATAAAATTGTGATTTTATGAGGTCAAAGGTCAAATATTTAAATATATTTCAGATATTTAGATATTTTCCCGGGTCTAAGTAAGAATTTTTAAACATTATTTATCCTTTTAATGAACTTCAGGTCATAGGTCAAATTTCAAAATATTTGAAATTTGAAAATATTGAAAAATATTCTCTTCAAGTCTTAAGTTATAAATTTTAAACGATATTTAATTCTTTTCCCATTTTTCACTTCCCCAAAATCATTAAAAAATTTTTAAATATTTCTAAATAAAAGCAAAGTTTCTATTCAAAATTTATTTAATTCCGAAGTTTATCTAAAAAATATACATTCCTTTACTCGGATTAAAAAACCAGACACAAAACACAATCATTAAAACAAGTAAGTAGAAAAATTCATTATTATATATAAAAAAAAATACAAAGCCCCACGCCCCCCTATATAAATATAGAATAGGTAAGGGGCTATAGTTATGTATATATATTAAAAGATCTCAGGCTATGATTTAAATAAATTTATATTATTTACTCTAAAAGTAAATGGTTCGAAAATCTAGCATTTTGCTATAAAAATTATGAACCAAATGATATAAATTTGTTAGATTGGTAGCCCCTAATTTAGAGTCGTAGTTAGAAGCAGTAATACTAATGCTATTTTATTTTTGCCTTAAAATCTTTTTTTCTCGCTTATAGCTGCTAAATGCACGCCATCATTAGTCAATGAAATGCGTGATTGTCGTGCTGCCACCGGTGAAAAAGCGAAATTCAAAATTCAATTTGCCGGCAATCCAAAACCAGGTATTTTATCCCCTTTCCCTCCCGACTCAGAAATCATAGCACTCATAGGGTCTTTCACTATTTCTCGCCAAGTAATAGAAAGTTTAGTTGTTTACTTAAATATAAAATCTTGTTTCTAGATATACAATGGTATTATAACAATGTACAGCTTAGGGAATCTGATAAATATCACATGGAGGTGGGAGAATCAGACGCCTCCTTAACCATTATGAATATAACATACGAAGATATTGGCTATTATACTTGTAAATTAATCAATGAAATAGGTATGACCATGACAAGAGGTAAATTTGATATATCCACCACTGCCACCGAGACAGAGGTCACTACTAAGGGACGCAAGGGTAAGGGTAAAAAGAAGGTACCGAAAAAAGTGAAACCCGTTATAATACCCACTGCCTATACCTCTTCCGAGGAAGAGGAAGAAACTAAAGTAGAAACACAAATAGAAACCACCACTATTGAAATAGTGCCCGCGGCCGCTTGCGAAACTACCATGGAGGTAATAAAAGTTAGACAACCTGTTTCCATTTTGGTTGAACAAAGTGAAAAATCAGAGGAGATACTTGTCAAAGATCGCAAAATAGCCGATGAGGAATTAAAGGCCACCACTACCATAATCGAAGAAAAGGAGGAAGTCATTACATCCACAGTAGAAATAAGTGAAAGCATCAATATTTTACGTTCGAAAATCTCAGAAAAATCGGTAACCGCCGAAGATATACTAGTCATAAGACAACACAAAGAAGTCAATCTACTGTTAGAAACCATAGAGGCGGAATCGTTTGGTGTTATAGGAGAATCGGCTCTACGCGACTTGGCCACCATGGGCCTGTTGATACGCCACGGTTGTACCATACTCGAAATTATCTACATGTATGAGCAGAATATTTTTATTTCTCTAAAGAAGCCTGAAGCTCAATCGGCACTGGTGCAGTTGGTGGAGCGTGAAGGTCATGAGGAATTGATTAGTCAAATCCTCACTGAATCTTCTACCGAAGATGAGTCAATTCTAGCGGCTACCGTTGGTTTTAAGGCCTTTATACGCATGATCGAAACATGCGAGATTACAATAGAGACCGTTATCAGAAAGTTTGTGCGAGAGGACTTTATAACTCAGGATTGGAAAATATCCGGAAAAGAGGTTTGGAGTTTTGAGTTGTGTTCGTTTTGGTTACGGTTTTCAAGTTTTATGTTTATTTTGTTTTGTGTGTTAAGTGTTTAAAGATATAGGTCGAAATTTTTAAAGGTTTTATTGGGATTTTTAAAGTATATGAAA